ACCTCATAATTTTGAAAAACGGTAGACATTTATCTGCTGACTTCGATATGAACTGATGCAGAGCTGCCACCCTTCCAGTTAACCTCTGTATATCTTTCACTGATTTCGGCGGTTCCATCTCGGCAATTGCTCTGATCTTCTCTGGATTGACCTCAATTCCCCTTCGAGACACCATGAAACATAGAAATTTTCCGGACTCCACTCCGAAAATGCATTTGGCTGGATTTAACCGCATCCTGTTCTTTTTGAGGTTGTTAAAGGTTTCGTCGAGATCGGCGAGATGGTCTTCTGCTTTTAGGCTCTTTACCGCAATGTCGTCGACATATACTTCCAGATTCTTGCCAATCTGAGCATGGAAGACAATGGTTACCATTTTCTGGTAAGTAGCACCTGCGTTCTTTAAGCCGAACGGCATCATGACATAACAATAAATTTCATCGCTAGCATAGAACGCGGTTTTCTCTTCGTCTTCTAGAGCCATTGGCACCTGGTGATACCCCGAGTATGCATCCAAGAGGCTTAACCTCTCATTGCCTGAAGCCACTTCAACTAATTTGTCAATGCTTGGCATTGGATAGCAATCCTTAGGGCAGGCATGGTTAAGATTTGTGTAATCAATGCACATTCGTCATTTGCCATTTGCCTTTTTCACCAGAACTGGGTTAGCCACCCATTCACAGTAATCAACTTTTCTGATAAAACCAGCCTGTAGGAGCTTTGTTACCTCTTCTTTAATAGCCTGAAGCCTCTCACCCCCGAAGAGACGTCACTTCTGGGCCACCGGTTTCTTCAATGAATTGGTGCTGAACTTATGTTGAGAGACTGAATTTGGAATTCCTGGCATGTCTGCCGAAGTCCATGCGAATACATTATTATTAGCTCGAAGAAAAGCTATTAGCTCTGCCCTTTCCTCTGGGTTCAATCTAGTTCCGATCTGCGTCTTTCGGCTCGAATCTCTGTCATCAATGAGCACTTCTTCAACATCTTCAACCGGAGCAGCTCTGGTTTCATCTTCTGGTCGATTATCTACGATCTCAACACCCATAACTTGCTGATTATCAGAAATTTGCTAGGGAATGGCCTTGGGTGTCTGATCTTTGCCCTTCATGGGTTGTGTTACCGAGGTGATATAACAATGCCTGGCCACCTCCTGATTTCCTCGTAGTGTTGCTATTCCCATAGGAGTTGGGAACTTCATACAGAGGTGAGACTGGGAAACCACAGCTCGGATTTCAGTTAGTGTGGGTCGGCCAATAACAATGTTGAAAGAAGACGCCATTTTGACTACGAGGAACCGGACTGAAGGAGTCACATAGGTTCTGCCACTTCCAAAAGCCACATGGAGGGTAAGAACTCCTTCTACCGGAATAGGCTGGTTGTTGAAACCATAGATAGGACCATCATTCTTCTGCAACAATGCTGGATCTAATCCCAGACTCTCGAAACAGTGGAAGTACATGATGTTTGGTGCACTCCCGGTGTCAACAAGGACATGCTGTACTTCACAGTTATTAATCATTACAGAAGTGACCAAGGGATCATTGTGGGGTGTAATAACTGTATCAAGATCAGCAGATGTGAAAGTAATGGGTTGGTTCTTCCACTCAGCGTCGTCAATCTTCCGCTTCTGAGCTCGGTTTTGATGTTTAACCTCTCTAACATACAGCTTTCACTGCTTAGAGCTCAGTCCACCTGCTTCAAGGCCTCCCGTAATCATATGTATGATTCTAGCTGATGGTGGGAGCGGAGGTAGGGTTTGCTGATATCCCACACCTTGCCTATTTGAGGGGCCTATTTGGGGGATTGAGGACTCCTTGAGGTTGCGGCCTCTGTTCTCTGATAAACCTCAGCTGTTCAGCTCTCTGAACATACTCATTTAGCATTCCCTTCTGAGCTAAACTTTCCAGTTCGGACTTTAAGCTGTTGCACTACTCTGTAGTATGGCCGTGATCTTGATGAAAATCACAATATCTGGTGTGGTCTCGACTAGCAGCAGTAGTTTTCATCAGGCCAGGACGCTTTAAATCCATTTTATTCTTGATCTGCATAAAAATTTGTGACCTCGGCAGATTAAAGGGAGTCCAATTAACTGGAGGTTTACCTGCAGATTGGTGCGGGGGAGTTGAGTTCGTCTTTTCGAATCTCGTTGGGGAGGTCAACATCGGACCTCAGTTCTGCGCCATTCTCATCCTTTTTCGGTTCGGATTGTCATCTCTCCATTCTGGGTTCTGGTTCTTAGAGGAAGGTGGGTTTTGCGCCAGGGCGTATTCCTCAGCAGTTATAAATTTCAGAGACCTATCGTTCACCTCCCTAAAGGTGGTGGCAGCATGTTTGATCAAACTGTCTCTGAACCTATCATGTTTGAGACAAGAGATTACAGCTGCAATACCCACAGCTTAGTCGAAGGAACTAACCTCCAACACCGCATCATTGAACCTGCTCATGTAATTCTTCAGAGACTCTCCGTCCCTCTGTTTAACTCGCATCAATTCAGTAGTAGTTTTCCTAATCAACCTTCTACTGGAAAACTTAGTGGCAAAGGCAGATGCCATTTCTGTGTAAGAACTAATTGACCTCGGAGGTAGACTGTAATACCAAGTTCGAGCATTACCTCGCAGAGTAGACAGGAAGATTTTGCACATTAACGCGTCAGAGGCGTTCTGAGCTTGCATGCAAGAGTAGAAAGCATGTAGGTGATCATCGGGATCCTTCGTCCCATCATAAGTCTCTAGTTGTGGTATTTTGAAGCCAATGGGATAGGGTTCCAGCGTAATGTTGGTATTCAGAGGGTGAGGTATAGAATCAGCAGCATGGTGTGGGGGTGGAGCACCTCAGTGTTCAGCTACTAGCTTTTCCAAGCTATCGAGGTGTCGGGTGACATCATCAGAGATGGATTGCTGAGCAGGTGCTATGTGAGATTGACCCTGAGATTCGCTAATAGCGGGAGCAGGTGGAATTGGTTGAGGATTCTGTTGTGGGGCTGGGGGTTGTTGAGCAGGGTTTAATAAATTAATGAGGGAATCACCAGGATTATTTCTAGCTAAAAGCTGAGCCAGTACCAACTGAAAAACACCGAACTGTTGCTGCATGGCAGCAAGTTGAGCTGCCACTACGTCTTGATTGGCAGTGGAAGTGGAATTGTGAGCTGAGGTATGGGGTTGGTTTTCATCTCCCCCTTCTGCATGATCAACAGGATGGAATATGGTTGGGACCTGAGGTGGAAGCTGAGGTGGGATTTGAGGTGGGATCAGAGGTGGGATCAGAGGTGGAAGGTTGTTGGGGGGTTGACCTTGCCCATGAGGCAGAGACGAATTACCAGCTCGGACTGATCGATTGTGAACCATGATGAAAGGGCAACTAAAAAGCTTCCAGTTCGATTCCCACAGACGGCGCCAATGTAATTGCACCAAACCAGAAGTTTTTCTTCAGTCTGCGCTTGCACTCCGGGATGACCTGTAAAGCCCCGAGGTGGAACTCGGGGTAGACACTCCAATGCTTAAGTCAGCAATAATCGGGGCTACCTTTAGGGCGGAGATAAAAAGAGCTTAGGGTTGGTTTCAATTACCTTTTTGACGTGGCCCGGGGGGGTATTTATAGGATCCAATGAGGAACCCACGTGTCATGCCAAGCCTAATAATCGAAGCTTGACGTGTCCATCCAGACGATTATTCCGGGACCTGGAATTTGAGAGGTATTTAGATGCACGAGTGTCCACCGTGTTTTCTGTGCCACTCATCATAAGTAATCAGATGCGGGCATGCTTATTGTCACTGTCATGCAGCTAATTGAGCGGGAAGCTTTGGATTTATTCTTCACTCCGGTCATAAAGGAATTACTGTAGCAGTCCGAGGCTTGGCACCTCGGACCTGTCCTTACACATAGGCCCAACACAGAAAGGATGCTAATATTTCATTATTAAATGGGGGAGATTAAAACATATTATTATATTTAATTTTAGTTTTGACTTTGTTGCTATTTGAATGGATAGATGTGATTTTCAATGGATTTTACATAAAAAAAAAGGACTTGAATGCACACTAATAGATGGTTCTAGACTAATTGAATATCTTTTGAAAGTTGATCAGAGACTCAGTTGTGAGAGGAAAGGTTACTTTCGGAGACCTAAAGAATAAATTTGAAGTTATGGGATCAAAGTGTCCCTTGTATAG